TCATCCACCACTGCTTGCTCCTCCGCGCCCCCCGCCATGACTCACTTACGCCCAGCCCGTGGGGTGCTGACGTGGACGGCTCAGCCACTCCAAACAATTGCTGGTGCTCTTGACAGAAGCAGTCCGCACCGGCGCATCCGGCCGGCTCATGCCGCTGTCCTGAGATGAGGCCCATCAAGTGTGTCTCCTCCTCGGTACCCCCTTCGGAACTCGCGCTCGGCTCACTCTCCCCCGCCCTCCTGCCGAGCAACGGCAGCGCTCCGTCCCATTGCTCCAACCACTGCCTCGCTGTACTTAGGGCATCCTGCCCAAGAAGCAACCCCTGTGCAAAATGGACCTGCCCCGCCCGGACGGCCAAGTTTGCAGCGATGACGTGGCTGCAGTCGTGCTGCGACGGACACCCGTCCCTCTTGCCTTGGCAGTACCAGGCGCCCTCGACGCTTCGATGCAGCATCTTGTGCGCTGGACTGACCCCCCGGGGGCTGCTCCTCACGGCAAAGAAGCTCCCCGTAGAGTCCGTACCCACCTGCTCGACCAGCCCCGCTCCCCGTCCCAACTCTCTGACAGTGGGGAGGTCCCCTTGCTGCAACCCCGTAGAGCCGAGGGCCGCGAGCACCAACTTATGGACGCAAGGAGCGTCCCTGGCCAGCCGGCCACGATCGCATGAGCAGTTCAAGTGTCCGTGGCTATCCCACCAGCACTCTTCCAGCAACGCCTTCTCCTTGGTGGGCTTGCCGAGAGCTTTCGGCCTCGCTCGGTTGTGATCCCAATATGTCATGTAGAGCCGTGGAGGGCTGGCCTCACACTCGTCCACTCCAGTAGGAACAACCAGGCGGCACGTGCCCTCCAGCCTGACGCCGCTCAGAAAGAGGCCAGCTTGGGCCGGGATGCCGAGGCGCTCCTCAGGCTGCAGGTGCCAACTAGATCTTTCAGGCACACTTCCTGACCGCTCTCGGAAAACAACCTCACACCTTCCTCACAGTCTGAGCTGAACGAGCAGCTTAGGATTGCATCTGGGATTTTGCGCATTATCCCGCCTTTTGAGTGCCGGGCCATGAGAAATTCCATGAACAGCATGTAGTCGGTCCTTGTGCTCCCTCTTTTAGCATGGGCGCATGCCAGGCCGTGAGTCCATTGGAATCTTGCGGGACGGGCGCAATCGATGACAGACTCTTGCATAGCAAATCATCATAGGTTCTATTAAGAAAATATATGCACTCACCAGCATCTCGCGCGCGCGGCTGCCGGCTTGCATGCCCCTGTTCAATGCGCTCTCAGCTGCAGCCTTTTTCGGCTTCTTCCTGCTCACGGTGCTCTCGTTTGTGATCACAACAGCCTCAAGCAGCTCGCTCGTTAGCTCCAGCGTTTGCTTCCAGCTCCCTGAGGGCCTCCGCTCGAACAACAGCGCATCTTGCTGGCCATGACCACGGTCGCACAGGCTCACGCTCTCTGCATCGGTGCTGAGCCTCAGCTGGCCCATCAGCTTCCCCACACATCCGAGGCAAAGGAGTTGGCGTTTTTGCTTGCTCTTTGGAACGCTGCAGCCCACGAGGTAACCCTTCATCGGGCTCCTGCGCAGGCTCAGCCTCAAGCTCCCGTTTGTACTGCCTGCACTCGACCAGATCTGCTGCTTGCATGTAATGCAATTGCCGGAAATCTGCCCTACCTCGGCCGGTTGGACGCACTCCTCTCCTATGTAGTACAGACCGCGTCCGATTTGTGCTAGGTCCGAGGCTTGGTAGTGCTCAGTGGGGGCTGCCATGACTCAAACCCCCAAACATGCACCAACATGCACGAAGCTGCCCCTTTAGAATCAACTGGGAGCTGTGTCTAACTCTCCGACCAACCTTGGTCATCCTTCCGGCCTCCCTCTTTCCCTAAGTACTCACGGCTCTAGACTGGCAGGGCACCCGGGACGGCGGGCCGCCGGAAGGCCCCAAATTCGATCGTAACCGCTTCGAACGACTCCGGCGGTGCGCCGAGTTCGCAGCGGGGGGCCAGGTGGCAAAATGCTCTACGGTACCGTTATCAGTCAAGTGACGCTAAGCCAAATCTCGATTTTTCACGGCCGTTCGATGGATCGCGAGAACTTAGGGATCGGTGTAACCCATTTCGGCCGTCCGATAAGGTTGAACTTCATTTGGTTGCCCCC